GAGTAAAGGAAGCCATCTTTGTGAAGAAAAACCGTCCACCATTAAACAGAGGTGGAGGCCTTCATGTCCAGTTGTCCTCCTCCTACAARGCTGTTATTGCAAGTATGACTCCGCCCCCTGTGAGCAAAAGGTGTGAATCAGGGTCCCATTGATAGTCAGGTGATGGAGCACATGACCCTCTATGACCAATAGAGCTAATCAAGGCACTAACAACCTATTGTTTGGCTGATGGTCCTCTTTTGACTGAAAAATGAGCTCATAATAGTAATAAAACATCAATAATCTCTACTCAGACATTATTTTATTCTGATTTATATTTTCAGTTGTATAATTCTGGACGACTGATAATATTAAACCCAATTATGTCTGTTTTAATTCACCTRACTGCATTTCCAGGAACGCTCAAAGCTTTTAAAAGCTCCACTGTTTTTCTTCAGCAACATCATTAAATTTCTTCCTGTTTGGAGTTCATTAGTTTTAGTCAAAGAGAGGTGRCTGCAGCTGCAGAACACAGAGCTGACAAAACTTCTGCTCAACCAAAACTCTAACCTGAAGATCCTGATAACCTGTCAGAGATAATCCTCTGAGGGTTTATTAAAAAGAAYGAAGAACTTGTTGAGCTCAGCTCCTGACTGCAGAGGAGGCGGTTATGTAAGAAAACACGAGTAAACACAGCAATTGTTTGGACACCTTATGGCTTTTACTGTTTTATTTGAATCTSATATCACAACAGTGTAATAATAGCTGCTGCCTCCTTGCAGAGTGTAAAATGTTGCAGTTTCTTTCATGTCTCATCTACCTTCTGTCTCGCTCTAATGATGTGAGCCTCACTAAGCTCTACACGATGCTGACGACCACTTCTTTTAATATTTCTAAATAAAGGTCGACGCCGTTCGTTTTGCTAAAACTTGATTTAGAAATGAAGGAAACAAAGAAGGAACGTGCTTCTCTAGTTTGGGAAATGTCACGAGTTTGCCTCTGAACTTTTGAAACAAWGGTGTGTAACAAAGTACGTTTACTTTGTTAAAGTAAGTAATTTTTTTTGGGGGGGGGGGATGCACGATGTATTGGCATTAACATCAGTATCGGTCTGATAAGTAAAACTGGGCCAATATTAACATCCAATATTGATTTTCTATTTTGCAGCTTTGTGTTTCTGTTTTTTTTTTGGGGGGGGGGGGGGGGGGGGGGTTGATCATGATGATGTTTGTGGCGCTGCACAGACAGGAAGAACTGAAGTAGAGAGCCATGTCAGTGCTCTGGTCGTGGTTTTACGAAAAAGACACAAGTTTGTGCATATTTAAATATAGTATATCGTGAATTTACTGTATCGTTGCAGCTATTCAGTATACTCAAGTGTCACGGTTTGATATTTTTTCAGTACAATAAATGTTGTTGAAACAGCAAGTTTCTCAGTGGATCTGTGCTCCACAGAGCAGCCCAGGTGGAGTAGTCGAACACAAATCCACTGATCCTTCAACACAGAGCATCTTCAGAAGACAAGCTGATAAAATAAATTTTTAAAAATCTGTATTGTTCCATACATAGTGTGTGTTGAATCTAAAGCACTGTAATGAATGGTTTGATACAGACACATGTATTGTTGCACGCCTAATACAAACAAACAAACAAACAAATAAATAAAGTTTGTGTTTTGTGTAATTACAGTATATATTAATTATCAGTCATAGTAGAAACATARTGGATATCAATATCGGCTGAAATTTTCATCTTGGTGCATCCCCAAGTTTTTTTTCAGGATGTGTAATTTTAACCAAGTTTTTTTATTGTAACTTATACTTTTATTTTGTTGCATTCAAAACATAAAAATGATACTTTTACTTCTTTACTTTAAAATATAACATCTGGTTACACTCAAAAAACAGATTGTTGGATTTACCTGATCAGGTTATGTCAATAATTTCCATTCAACTGACTTGYGTAAAGGTAAAGCAACTTTCTTTAAAAAAATCAATGTGCCTTTTTTGAGTGTAAATGCTARAAATTTAAATATGACCGGAGCTCACCATGAAAAATTGTTTGTTGAATTTTAATTACCTGATTCCGCTAAACCGAGTWGAGTAAATTGAGAAATTTAAGTTTACTTTAAAATAATASGTGGAAATTGCTCAATTTACTCAAATCAGTTCAAAGTAAAGTCAAAACTTTATTTCTTAGGGTCTGTGTAAAAGTYCTTATACTTATTTGAATATTGTGAGCAGTTTGATGATATTTACCTTTTCTTTAACATTGAAATTCATTTTTACCAAAAACATTTTCTGCTGAAGTATTTTTTCTTTTTACTTCGTTTTTTTTCAAGTACCTTACACACCTCTGCTTTTAAACTTTATTTTCTTTGGTAACTGATTCAGCTGCGAATTGAAACATATAAAGTTAGGYTTAAATGTTACAGAATACACAGAGTTACAGTTTATTTCCCCCATATCATATAAATGCCATGAAACAAATGATTTGTTGCTGTTCCACCTCCAGCCTGGGATACATTAAAGAATTGGGAAAAAAATGTTCCTGTTTTATTATCTCTGATAAAAAAAAGACAAATTGTTACACAAATAATGTCTATAAAATATGTGGATTCTTACAAATTACAATATAAATAGTAAAAAAAGGTGAAATAACCTGATTTTTCTGAAATATAATTTATTGTTGTCATAATAATCAGTAGGTTCTCACATATTCATATCATGTGCAGTCATGTGAATATTTTCATTCTGTTTAGAAGGTTTGGTTTAATACCGATAGCTTAGCGATGCTAACCATGATAGCTTGTTTGTTTCTTAAATGTGTAATATAAGCCAAAAAGCACAATCTGAGTTGATTTAACTGCAGAAACAAACAGACAAAGAGACGTTTTACTCACACTGGGTGTATTCCTGCAGCAGAGCGAATTCAGCGGGGGTCAYAGTGACCCATTTGTCCTGACTGTTCATCGTGTTCTGGCCTTTTCTTGATGTTCAGCGAGCGTTCCCTGGWCAGCGACGCACACGGCGGGCCGTCTCACACTGCAAAACATCACAACAGCAGCTCCATTAACACTGAGCAGTTCTCTGTTTAGAAAGGGCTGAGAAAATAATACAACAGGTGAGAGGCTCAAACGGACACATCAGCACTCAGGAGGCTTGTTCTGCTAAAAGTAGCAACATTAGAACTGAGGGAAATAAYTGTAAAAGCAGATAAATCAACTCATTTAAGTGTCTTTATCTACATAATATCACTTGAAATATCAACTTTGTGGTAACTCTAAGAAAGCTTTTTAACTTATTTTCTTATTTAGAATCAAAGAATGAGGGGAAAGAATCTTCCAGATGGCAGCATTGTGTATTAAACCCAAGAAAGACAGCATTAGTGCTAATAATCAAGCCACATCTGTCTCTAAAGCCAGTTTTCCAAGCCAGGATTAGACAGTCAAGCTTTTACTTTCAACTGTTGCCAAATCTACCGGACCCCTGCAGTTTCTCCTGCAGATGGTGGGCCTGGGTTGTTTTACTGGATGGGTGTTGGCTGATTTGTTTAAATTTTTATTTGTTTATTTTGTTAGGAGAAGAGTTGGGCCTCGTAGGTGAGGATGTGTAGCCTGCAGGTCTTCACCTGTCCCCTTCCCTCCCCAAGCTTTGGCTGCACCAAACCTGGGTTTGTTATTGTGCTTTAAAGTTTACAAAATCACCTTTATTGGTCCGTTTTTGTGCCTAACTCAACCTCAGGTCACAAGCTTTGAGGAACGACAGAAAGAAGATGATCACAGACAAATGAGCTGCATCCAGAAGCTGAGCTGAGCTTCTTCAGGTGATGGGATTAAGCTGAAATTGGATTAATTACTGGATTGAAAATGCTAAGTTTTACCCACAGGAGAGCAGAAAAGGAGGCTGGGGAGATGGAGATCAGAGAAGCTGTTTAAACTGGAGATATTGACAAATAAAACACTGCAGATTAAAAAAGGTCACAAAAATTTTCAGTGAATTAAAAAAGGCATCTTATTCAGCTCCAYCCTGAACCTGCATCAGCCTGACTGGTTGCCATGATGACAGCGGGACAGAAATCAAGCTAAAAGGGCTTTTAGAAGCAGGTTGGTCGAATTAATCTAATATTTAATGTTTTATTAGCTGCAAAAAAAGAAGTTATTTTGCTTGAACATAATTTTACAGTTAAAAGCATTTTAACACCATGATGAACAAACTATATGCTTTGAGCAAACAGCTGATTTTATGTGATTCAATAAGAGACGAGCATCATTTATCAAACTTCAAACTATTGTTTATTTGTTTAATGTTGGTTGTAGTAATTTTGTATTTTACTGTATGTTTTGGTTCTTGCAGCCCCTGCATCAGTGTGGCTGTCTGTGCTCAGGTCCAATCACCACTGAAGCATTTGACCCATTTAGAACCTGAAAGCCTGGATCAACAAGTGGATGTTTATTTGTGTGAAGGACAGATGTGGCTCTGCTTGTGTCGCTGGATGTGGATCAGATAAATAAAGCTCACTGCTACAGTATATGTTTGATCAGCTATAAAAGTGTCGGATTTGATTTAATCAGCAGATCGAGGGCTGAAGAAGAAATATCTCAGGTCATTTTTTTAAAGGTAAAAAATAATAAATTAAGCATTAAAAAAGATTCTCTTGAGCTATATTAACTGGTGCAGTTTGGACGAGTTTACTTCTGCGGTTTTCGATGTACAACTAAGCAGTTCTGAACTGCAGGTACTCACTCAACGTAAACAAAGTGGAAGCTTGTGTCACCTGGATGACCTACTTGAGGCTGGTTGTAATCTGAGAAGGTAAACAAACATGGCGGAATCATCATAAAGACACAGCTCAAGCAACCTTTGCAAAACTTCTTATAAGGCAGTAAATTTCCATCTGACCCACCTGTGTCAAATGTGTGTCAAACTCGTGGGCAAGGTGTGGCCCACAAGTGACTCCTGTCTGGCCTGCCAAGGGCGGCACATATATTATTATTATTATTTTTTTTTTTTACTAAATATGAAATTTGTTTTATATCAATGTTAACTTTAAATTTATGACTAAATGCAACAGAATTAATACATTAAAAAACTGAAAGATAATAATATGTCCTGCCCCTGAGCTGTTTAGTTGGATAGCACAGTATTAATGTCTCAAAATAAACTGCTTTAAAGCCAACATCGACCATAAACTACATTTCCCATAATGCATATGGATTACACAGAGGAATTCCCTCTCAGAAAATGGGAGAGTTCAGAATTTAATAAGGAAGCTTCTCACCACAACTCATCAGTAGCTGCGTTTCCATTGACCATGAAAATGCGCAAATTAGAATTTCGAAAATAAATTTGCTCAATGGAAACACGTCAATTTCGAAAAAAAAATTACTTTTTTCGACAAAATGTTTTTGCGCTAGGAAGAGGTGGTATTTCGGCCGTATCGAAATTGGTGTTTTTTGCAAAACTGCAATGGAAACACTTTTTTTGCATCACGGGAGTCACGTGATCAACAACTGGCTGTTTCTAGTGGCGAAAAAGACGATGACGAAGATGATAACAGGAAGTAGAAATAGTAGTAATATCACAGAAGTTGTATAAAATAGTAAACTCATCGACTACAATTTCCCACAAACACAGCATACGTAGCCGCTCCCAAGTAGGGTCTTGTCTCTGGAAAGCCTCGATAAAAGACGCCGACGTCTCCTCTGATGATGAGCGCTAGCGTCGCGATAGCAACATGCTATGTGTTTACATCCATCGCCATTGTGTTTGTAATGACTTATCGCAAGAACAAACGTATTCACGCGTGACTTTAATAGCATTTCTTACTTAATAGAAACACCGCAGTTGCGAAACTGTGTTTTTCGACATTAACAGAATATCGACAAAGTTTTGCGCACATTTGCAATGGAAACGCAGCCAATGAGTAAAACTCTCTTAATTTACTTTTAATAGAATTTCTGTATTATTTATTTCACATTTAGTCAGTTGTACATGTAGTGCTTTTCAGTGTTTATAAGAGGACGTGTTGAAACACTGTTTCTATGCAGGAAATATCAGGTAGAGCTCAGTGTTTGTTAGCAGTGCTCAGCCATAGCAATGAGACAAGGAACCTGGTGTTTCACGAAACATGAAACACCATAACGCTCATGTGCCCCCTGACCTAACCTGTTTATTTATCTTAGTAATGATGTACTAACACATCAAAAATGACTTTTCTATAAAAGTCGCCATTGTTGACCCGTTTTCAATCACTTCTGCAGGTAAACAACAGGTAAACAAATAAAAAGGTAGTTAGCATCCTGTCACAAATTGCTCTTACAAATCGTGAGTTTAATGAGGCCAAAACCATCGAATTGAGAAAAATTATTATCATTCGGGGTTCATGACTTTGCAGTGAGAGCCTTTAACATGACTTGGGTAAAGTGCACAAACAAAACCTTCATGAATAATTTAGTGAGTCTCATCTTAATCACACAGATAAGGAGCAATCAGCCCCAACATCAGAGCTGCTGCAAAATTCACCCATCACTGTTCCATCAGTTGAACTTATTGAAATCCTATGATTTGGTTAACTGTGGTATTTTATCAGTCATGTTTAGGGCTCATAAAAACACAATACCTTCAAACATCCAATTACTTTGTTAAAAGAGCGAGTTGTTATAATCTCAAAGGGATAGAGATGTTTGTTAAACCCAAATTTAGAACCACTTTAAAGGAACGGAGTATTTCAGTCCAGGGTAGAAGATTATGGAATAATCTGGAGGATGACATTAAAAATGCCAGATCAATGAGTATATTTAAGAGAATGATAAAGAATAATTTGCTGGAAAAATATGTAAACGTATGAATTGTTCAAGGAGTTAAACCCTTATATTTTTCTTTTCCTTTTTTTTAAAATAAAGACTATTTTTGATTGAATTTATTTATTTAAGAAAAAGGGGCAGATATAATAAGATTTTATCCTCTTCTGCTGCCTTTCACTTGATTTATGATTTTTTTGTTGTTTGTTGAATTTGTTTTTTTTTAAAGAAATTAATAAACTAACTGAAGTATGAAGTATAAATTAGCCCTCCGTGTATAAACTTTGAGCTGAAACAAAAACTGCAGGGTTCTTTTAATGTTTTGCACGGGCAGCAAAAAATGGGGGCTGATGTGTGTGAGGGTGTGTGTATGTTTGTGTGTGTGTTGGGGGGGATGCATTTCTGGCGTGCACTGCGCTGCAATCATCCTCACCCTGTTTCTGCAGTGCACCCCCCCCCACACACACACACACACACACACACACACAAAACACCACTGCTGGGAACAACACGAATCCAGCTCTGCAAATGTCATCAGAGTGTCGGTCCTCCTGCGATGCGGTGACGGGGGTGCGTGCGCATCACCGTGCACTGACAGGAGGTCTTTGCTGAAGCCGTGACACCACCGAGACACACGGACGAATGAGAGAAATGACAGCTCAACATGCAGCTCACCTGCTGCAGGGATGGAGACGACCACTGAGACGGACGAGGGAGGAGCTCTCCAGGCGGACGTCTTCAAAACAAGCTCCTCGCTCACATTCCTGACGTGGGTTATTTCCTCCAGCAGCAGCTCCTCTGCGCTGCATGCCAGGGTGAGGTGAATGGTGGAGTGTTTGTTTTCCTCTGCGGCGTCAGGTCAGAGGAGCATCGCTGAGGATGTGGAGCGGTGACACAACAGAGGAAAAGAGACAGAGAGAGAGAGAGACAGAAAAGGGGGAGGATGAGGAAGAGGAGAATCATCCAACCCTGTTCTGCCTGCAGTGATCAGTTTCCATACTCCCGCTCACTCACGTCACAACCCTCCATCCCTCCCCTCATCCGCTGCTGCTGCTCGTCTCTCCCTCCTCCTCCTGAACGCCCTCAGGTCCTATACGCTCCTGCTTTCACACGGCTCCTCTCATCCTTCCCTCACTGCTCTTTCCAAGAGCTTTAGATCGTGTTTACTGTGGCGCACAGAAACTGTGTCGGAGCAAGACAGATGAGAAAACCTGCGGGGATCTTCCCCCCCGCTAGAAAATTTAATGAAGGCAAGAAAAACAATTGTTCAGATGTTAGAAATTAAGTGTTTGGAAGCGTTTTCAGTCAGTCTGAAGAGTGATAGAGCTGTGTTGTGACAGTAAGCACACAAGGCAAACATCCGGGTCGAAAACCCAAACTGATACTAAATAAGGAGTAAAAAAAAGTGTGTTCTGGCAGATTAAATCATAAATGTTGAGGTGGTTGTTGAGGCTGGTTCAAAGGAATCAAAGGTGGGAAACCAACAAACAATAAAAAAAAACAGCACAGACAAGTTTTCCAAGTTGTGCATTTAAAATTAAATGTATTAAAAGGGATCCACAATTAGTTGTAACATTAAACTTTATTTGATAAACATTTATTTTAACTGTAAAATACAGACAGTAAAAATACAGTAGGCTATTTAGTTTTGTAATTTTTTTAAATATATGTTAACACGGATGGAGCCATTTTATTTACACGCAAAGCATTCTGGGTAAAAGATGACATCAACTAGGTGCGAGGCTGCTAGCGAGCTATATCCACCCTGAAGGTTAATCTTGGACAATATCTGATGATCGACTCTTTTAAATGAAACCAGAGAGCGTTGACAGAGAGGAGAAGGTAGAAATGACTCAGCCTGCAACTGAAAATATAGATGGAGGACAACAGAGCTGCTTCATGGAAGAAGAACCTCAGCTTAGCCTGTTAGCCTTTGCACTAGCGCCCATGCTATATTGCCTTATATGTATTAGCTCGGCGCTAGTGTGACAAACAAGCTATACTGAGGTCCTCCATCCATATTTTCAGTTACAGACTGAGTCATTTTTGTGTTCCCCTCTCTGTCATGTGGATGGAGGACCTCAGTGATGAGAGGAGAATGTGTAGCGCTGAGCTAATACATATATATAGTGATAGCATCCGGGTTAACGCTAAAGCTAACAGGCTAAGCTGAGGTTCTTCTTCCATGAAGCAGCTCTGTTGTCCTCCATCCATATTTTCAGTTCCAGGCTGAGTCATTTCTACCTTCTCCTCTCTGTCAACGCTCTCTGGTTTCATTTAAAAGTCAATCAGATATTGTCTAAGATTAACCTTCAGGGTGGAAATAGCTCGCTAGCATCCTCGCACCAGTGACCTAGTTGATGTCATCATTTACCCAGAATGCTTTGCATGTAAATAAAATGGCCCCATTCGTGTAAAAACTGAACATCCTACAGTATTTTTAGTCTTTATTTTACAGTTAAAGTGTATGTTTATTATATAAAGTCTAATGTTACAACTAACCGGGGATACCTTTAAAAAATGCAGATGCACAGATCTCTGGTCACTTGGTAACTTCCTGAATTTTCTCACTTTCTGAAGAGAAATTCACTGCAAGGAGAAACACTTGACCTTGATCTGGTGACTTTGCAAATCAATATCACATGATGCAGTGAACCAATCTGCAGCTCTGCTCTCCAACTATGAGAGAAACCAGACTGTTGTCGGAGAAATGTGCAAAGGCCAACATTTGTGCGGCATGCAGGCAGAAGTGATGTGACTTTAATACGTGCGAGGTGGTGCTCCTGCAGGGGGGAGTATTGGAACCCTGGTAGATAACTTGAATATTTGATGAGAACAACACCAGGCCTCCAGCAGCGTGGCTTCATACAGACCGGGAGCTGGACCCGCCTGCCTGCAGAGGAAAATCTAAAATGCATCATAAAAAGAAAACATATCAGACTTCAGATACCGGAGACTATTGATCAGCCACGACCAGTGACCTGTGGAACCTGGACAAACAAACACACAACTACACATACACAGCAACTAGAACAAAGTTAAAATCTCCACCTCAACAATAAATAACTTTATTATTAAAGCTGTCCACTCCTATAGAGTTGAATTTAAATCTGTTTCATACAATATTTGTCCCCACTCAATATTAGTGTAAAATGTACTCTATAGCCAGTGTCAACTTCTAAGAGTTAATTTGACTTATATTAGTGTCAAAAGCAACAATGTGAAGACTAAAATTTCATTGTATAGTTTGTTTACACTCTGGAGAGTAATAATATTTTTCTGGAATTACACTATATTTATTATGAAAAGTAGCCTTTTTTGTGTGATACTCCTAATTTTTGTTTTCCTTTTTACACAGTTAGAGTCAGAGTACACAGAGATATGCACTCTAACCAAGAGTTAAAATCAACTCTTGAAGTGTTGTATTAACACTTTTTTTCCCTCCGTTGAACAGCGCAACAGGGACGACTTTCACACACCAGGAAGTACCTCTCACTCATGGTGTCGTCTTATGGCCAATAACACAAAACCTAATCTTAAAAACTAACCAACCTGAACAAGAAAACTGACCAAAAAAACTTTTTTTTACATTAATGAACATTTTTAACAGTCTTAGACAAGCAAACACATAATTTCTACAAGATTACCCAGCATCCCTTGCTGAGAAAATTCTGGTCTTTGAGGAAGAGGGCGGGACTTTTCAGAGTACTTCTTTCAACACTGTTAAGTGATAATCAAGATTTAACAGTGGGCGGAGCTTATAACACTGTCCAGAGATGAGACAACACTGATGAAATTAACTCTGTGAATTAACACCAACACTGGATGTTAATTTACTCAGAAAGTGTTAAAAATAACACTTGGGAGCTGAAATTAACTATGAAAAGTTTAACACTGAAACTTTAACACTCCAGTTTTTATTGTGTAAAGTAATGAGCCTCAGCGTGAAGCAAAGTTGATGGAAGATCAGTGACCCAGATCTGTGCCGCGTGTTGAGGGAGGAGCTCACCAGTTGTGTTTTTAGTGCTGCCTGCAGGCTGATCGGTTGATCTGTTTACGGTTGTGTTGGAAAAGCAGCTCAAGTATTGATACTCACATGTGACTGAGAGAGGACTGCAGGGCAGCAGCTTCACAGAGCCGCCTTTCATTCACTGTCTGACACAGATAGAGAGCCTCTGCAGGACAGAAGGCAAAACAATTAAAGAATATGGTCAAAATTGATGCAATTATGACTCATTTTGTTTTGTATACCTTAAATTAGAGCAGATGTTTGGTTGCCTGGAGGATCTGTGCTATCCAGCAGCAAGGTTTTATGTTGAACTGGCATAAATTAAAAGGAAAAACAATGGAAGTGGCTTTGTCTCTTGTTTAAACGTTAATTTAAAGACAACAACAAACACTTATTATAACAGCCATGCTGTGAAACGTGTGTTTTTGGAAGTGGGCAGTGATGTTTATCTTCACTCCTGGTCAATTTATTCCAAAAGTATTTCTATAGTTCCTATCTAAATGAGGTATAGAAGAAAAATCCCCATTAAAACAGCCAGTTCAGATGTTATCAGTCCATTAAATGGACGTTAATAGCAGTTATCAGTCCCATAGAATGGCTTCAGACTGTCCCGACAGTGCCCCCTAGGGGGTTACCAGCGCCATATACTGTATGTTGGAATGCAACAATCTGCTACTGCCAGAGTCCGGTCTTTTTTATCGTAGCCCGAGTAATTTTCTCTAAAATTAACCTTAGTGGCTTTATGCCTCATATTAACCAGATTGCATAAAAACCTTAGTGGCTTTATGCCTCATAACCAGCTGACAGTCTGAAGCCATTCTGAAGCCATTCTATGGGACTGATAACAGCTAATAACGTCCATTTAATGGATGATAACATCCGAAGCAGGTGGTATAAATCAGTTTTACAGCTTTAAAACCCAGTCTAAATGATTTACTAGTAAAAGGGGAGTAAACAGCTCTGAAACATAAAAAAGATGTTAACAATCAGAAAAGGGAGGTCATGATTTAAGGAGGGAACTAAATTTAAAACAACCATGTGTCAAAACTGCTCTTAAAAGCAAGTGTATGTCTGTAAGTGGGGTTAGACAGTGGAWTAATCTAGATTCAGATTTGAAAAGGCGCAATAATTAAAGGAATAAATGTAGATTTAATTAATTATTGATAAATAAGTATTAGAATAACTTTAACCTTTATAATAATTATTATTATTATAATTATTATTATTACTGTATTAGATTAAATATATTGCAGGTGGRGTAAAAACAATTATAATTAGATTACGCACAGTGATAGCATATACCGACTGAAGTATACAAAGCAACACACCAGAACAAATTTATTGTTTTGGGAGGGGGTTTGGAGGGGATGGGGGCTCATTGGTGGACCCAATGGATAGCTCTTAATCAGAGCTTAAAAAAGGTAAATTAATTGAATAGTTTTTGAGTTATAAACATTTTTGTATGTCTAGACATCCCCTTTTCATTTGGTGTTGTGGGGGTGCTCGTTGGTGGACCCAATGGATAGCCCTTCTTCAGAGCTAAACAAAAACAAAGCAAAAATAAAGAATAAAAAATAAAAATCTGAAGCTCCTATGTTGAATAGTTTGTGAGTTATAAGCATTGTTTTATGTCAACACATCCCCTTTTTAGATGGACCCCCCTCCTCAAATATGGGGTCTATCGTAAAACCGTTGGCTGGCGCAGTGTAGGTCAGACGCGTCTACATTTCTGTCAAATTTCATGATTGGTGAAGCCGTTTCTGTGATATGGTTGACCAAAAATCACAAAATTTAAAATAAACAGTACAAAAACAATATGATCCATACTTCGCGTGAAAGGGTGGGGGG